TAATTAAACGGTACTAAAGTACACGTTATATCAAAATATGACAATCGTGATATTTGCAAATGAAGAAAAAAAAAATTAATTGCAACATTTATATATTTTGTGCCTGTATGAACATAAATTTAAGTTTTATAACTAAGGTAAATATTTGTCCAAAGAGTAAATAAAAATAAAAATTAACCTTTTGCATATATATCCGGTACAAAACATAAAATATTTTATCATTAATGTAATTTGTGAATTGTGTATTAAATGATGGCACAGTTATCTGTTTAAACTATAAATTCTGTATTCCATTAAATTTTGTCAGTAATTTTGTTGGTGAAGAGTAAGAAAAAAATATATTTTAGTTTTAATAGCATCCTCGCCAAATTTTTGCAGTAGAGTAAGTTTAATATTAGATTAGAATTCATATTTGTCTTAATGTTAAAAATAATGAAATAAAATACAGATCAACACTCATAATCCATGTCTATGGCTGGTGTGTATCATGGACTCACAACAGTAAACCGCCGAGCTGCCAGTTTATATTTATTTATCTTAACTTATAATTCACCTTATCCACAGAGTAAAAAGTGAATGCATGATATACAATATGCCAATCTGTACTTAGTCTGTTTTTACTAGTGGTTTGTTAGGCACAAAGGTTGAAAAGCTAGTAAAATTGTGAAATTTTAATTTCATTTAAATAACTAAAATGGAAAAAAAACCAGTTTTGTTGTTTATTCGAGGAACTTTTGTCCGAAGAACGAAAAGATAATTAATTATTTTTATTTATCAAATGAATAATACTTAAATATAATTAATTAATTGAATGGTGGTAATAAATCTTGTGGTTTCAATAAATTCGAAATTATTAATATCAGAGGAGAAGAGAAACTTATAGCTTCAGTCGAAAAAGGTGGGAAAATTTTACTATAGGTTTTACGTAAAAAACGATGAATTATATGATACACCAAATGAGATATACGTTAATATTGGTCATTGTGGTAAGCATTGAATGAACATAGAAATAAAAAATAAATATAGGTATTTGACTCAAAAAGGGATACTTTCTTAAAATTTTGCGGAGCATGTCAAACACAAACGTCATCTAACCGAAAAGTTCTTGTAGGTAAACCGTTTAATCATTCTGAATGAATATTATAGTAAATTAAATGTATATGCATTAAACATTTTCTTTAAAAATATTTGATCAATTTTGTATTTATTTTCTCGTTATCCTGATTTTGACATATTTAACTTTTTGGGAGGGATTTGAATATCATAAAATTTATTTTAATAATATAATAATATTATTAACTAAAGTATTTTAATTACTTTTTACAAAAAGTAATAACAATTACTACCTCCTAATTATAGTCATATCAAAACATCAAATCATACAAGTAATAATCGGCACAAAATAGGTATGTAGGCACCTATATTATAAAATACATGACTAATATCATACGTAAATATTTTGTACAATAATATTATGTTATTATATGGCTTTATGAATAATGCATAGTTTATAATTAATAGTAATTAAAATAAGTGAAAATTTCCATAATTTTAGTAATTTTCAAATTAAAATAAACACAAAAAAGTAATTTTTGATCCTGTATCGAATAGGCAGTGAACCTGCGGTAATTTTAACTGCAGTAATTTTTTCAATTAATTTATCTTAGACAGTCTAGTGAAAGTGATCACACCATAATAATCTACCTTAAATGTAGGATTATAGTGTTTCAATGATTTTAATGATTTCAATAGTACAATATTTTATATTTAAACATTTAATAACTTTAAATTTTATTGTAATATAACTGATTTTGTCTGATTCAAATCAACTTTTGTTGAATAGGTAATTTACAAACTTGGCTATCTAAACCTCTAGCAAGAACATTTGGATAATCAGTCAACTACTACTATAACGTAACGTGTAGCAATTATTACTGGCAACTGGAATCATACCTATTACTAAATATATATTGTTAAGACCGTAACGTTTAAGTGAAATATATTAAAATCAAAGCATAAAATTAATTTTGTGTCTCCTAAGAATATCGTATTATTCGAGTATCTATTTCGGATTTATTGCAAATATGCTGTTAAAATTTATCGTATCGTATGTTATTATTTATTCTTTTATGCCGGTGTCAGTACAAGGTATAGGCGAAGGACCGTTTTCCCCTCCACCGAAATCTCGTCTCCCTGATGATCCGCATTTCGAGGACCCTGGCACTNTCACCTATAATGATACTGTGAGAGTTTAGTTATTTGTTTCTATTATTGAAAACCTTAACTCCAAAATTAATACAAAACAATAACTTTTATTGTATTTTTTAAATTAAATTTGTTGTATTTATTAAACTTAATACGAGTCCTAGGCAAATGAATCAAATTAAAAAAACATATTTTAAACAGTAATTTGTTTGGAAATGTATATGTAAAGAACAAAATATGTTCCTTAATATAGTATATTGCTTAACCAAATCATTGTTGTGAAAGCAAAATTATCGACTGAACATGACTTAGACTTGGATTGTTCGTCAGCGATGGTTTACGGTATATATTAAATTATTTAAAAGAGTGGCTACAATATTCCCTTTTATCCTACGACGTCTTTTTTTTTTTTTTATTGTAAATCTATATGCTGTTACAATTTATCGTTTCGTATGTTATTATTTATGCTTTTATGTTAGTGTCAGTACACGGTGATGGTGAGTTTGGTCCCGATTTGCCACAACAAGATCTCCTTACAAATCGATAGTCCTCTGATGGCCCTGGTAATCCACCTGTTCCCAATTACCATGGCATTCCTTCTAACAATAATCAGAATACCAATAAACCTGGTTAATTGAGCCACTTCTCACTATTAAATTGTTTACACCTTCCAACCACTAGAATATTGGGATGCCATTAATTGCATATGCTATAATAATAATATATTATAAAAAACCTGCTTTGTTAATTTTATAATAACTTTATTTTAGATTTAAAAAAACACTAAAATCAATATTTGTCCGTACAGTCATTGTGTAATATGGTTTTTATTATTGATGAAATAAAATAATTTTTAATTTCTATTTATTTGTTATATTGATTACTTTGGTCAGTTGTTAATCTTCATATTACCCATGAAGATCCTTCGAGACATTAGTTATTGGTTCGTGATATTGAAAACCACAACTCCAATATTAAGACAAAACAATTACTTTCATTGTATTTTTTTTTTTAAATAAAATACCTTTTTTTTCTTAAACTTTATACGAGTCCTAGGTAAATGAAACAAATNAAAAATACGTACTTTAAACGTTAAGTACTCTGAAAACGTGTATGTAAAGAACAAAATATGGTCTTTAAAATAGTTTAATGCTTTAACATTCATCAAATGTTTTATTAAAAGACGTTTATATTTTTCGAAAATAATATGCATATTATACATAACGTATCATATATATCCATCATTTTCTTCTGGCATGAGAATTAACATATTACTTAGTTTGTAATTTGGTACATTTCAATAATTAAATTTCTCGAATTCCTACTTACTTAAATTTTTTTGATAGATTAAAAGTCAAAACTTTACGTATTTATTTTCCCATAGTATGGCAGTTGTTTTTTCATATAGTCCAGAAAAAATTTAAAATATCCTAAATAGTTTTCTCCAATAATTATACTTAAAACTATGTGTACAAAAATTGAATTGATCGACCTTTTCTGTGAAACAACTATATTTAAAGTTCAACCAATAAAGTCTACTTTTTATTGATATAATTTTATAAATTCTGGTGAAATACACATAAATATGACAGGATAGTTATTATTTTTGTTAGTTTGCAAAAAGCTGCACAAACAGATACATATTATAAATCATAGAAATGTGTTGCCAATATTTTATTATTAAATAAATCTGCGAATTTTTTTTTGTTTTTTATTAATTAAACGGTACTAAAGTACACGTTATATCAAAATATGACAATCGTGATATTTGCAAATGAAGAAAAAAAAAATTAATTGCAACATTTATTGATTTAGTGCCTTTATAAAGATAAATNCCATTAAATTTTGTCAGTAATTTTGTTGGTGAAGAGTAAGAAAAAAATATATTTTAGTTTTAATAGCATCCTCGCCAAATTTTTGCAGTAGAGTAAGTTTAATATTAGATTAGAATTCATATTTGTCTTAATGTTAAAAATAATGAAATAAAATACAGATCAACACTCATAATCCATGTCTATGGCTGGTGTGTATCATGGACTCACAACAGTAAACCGCCGAGCTGCCAGTTTATATTTATTTATCTTAACTTATAATTCACCTTATCCACAGAGTAAAAAGTGAATGCATGATATACAATATGCCAATCTGTACTTAGTCTGTTTTTACTAGTAATAGTTCGGCACAATAATTGTAAAACTAATAAAGTTGTGAAATGTTATTTTTTTTAAAATAAATTAAATAGAATAAAAAACCAGTTTTGTTGTTTATTCAAGAAACTTTTGTCCAAAATACGAAAAGATAATTTATTAATTTTATTTATCAAATGAATAATACTTAAATATGATTAATTAATCGAATGGTGGTAATAAATCTTGTAGTTTCAATAAATTCGAAATTATAAATATCAGAAGAGAAGAGAAACATATAGCATCAGTCGAAAAAGGTGGGACAAATTTACTATAGGTTTTACGTAAAAAACGATGAATTATATGATACACCAAATGAGATATACGTTAATATTGGTCATTGTGGTAAGCATTGAATGAACATAGAAATAAAAAATAAATATAGGTATTTGACTCAAAAAGGGATACTTTCTTAAAATTTTGCGGAGCATGTCAAACACAAACGTCATCTAACCGAAAAGTTCTTGTAGGTAAACCGTTTAATCATTCTGAATGAATATTATAGTAAATTAAATGTATATGCATTAAACATTTTCTTTAAAAATATTTGATCAATTTTGTATTTATTTTCTCGTTATCCTGATTTTGACATATTTAACTTTTTGGGAGGGATTTGAATATCATAAAATTTATTTTAATAATATAATAATATTATTAACTAAAGTATTTTAATTACTTTTTACAAAAAGTAATAACAATTACTACCTCCTAATTATAGTCATATCAAAACATCAAATCATACAAGTAATAATCGGCACAAAATAGGTATGTAGGCACCTATATTATAAAATACATGACTAATATCATACGTAAATATTTTGTACAATAATATTATGTTATTATATGGCTTTATGAATAATGCATAGTTTATAATTAATAGTAATTAAAATAAGTGAAAATTTCCATAATTTTAGTAATTTTCAAATTAAAATAAACACAAAAAAGTAATTTTTGATCCTGTATCGAATAGGCAGTGAACCTGCGGTAATTTTAACTGCAGTAATTTTTTCAATTAATTTATCTTAGACAGTCTAGTGAAAGTGATCACACCATAATAATCTACCTTAAATGTAGGATTATAGTGTTTCAATGATTTTAATGATTTCAATAGTACAATATTTTATATTTAAACATTTAATAACGTTAAATTTTATTGTAATATAACTGATTTTGTCTGATTCAAATCAACTTTTGTTGAATAGGTAATTTACAAACTTGGCTATCTAAACCTCTAGCAAGAACATTTGGATAATCAGTCAACTACTACTATAACGTAAAGTGTAGCAATTATTACTGGCAACTGGAATCATACCTATTACTAAATATATATTGTTAAGACCGTAACGTTTAAGTGAAATATATTAAAATCAAAGCATAAAATTAATTTTGTGTCTCCTAAGAATATCGTATTATTCGAGTATCTATTTCGGATTTATTGCAAATATGCTGTTAAAATTTATCGTATCGTATGTTATTATTTATTCTTTTATGCCGGTGTCAGTACACGGTATAGGTGAGCATACTCCTGATCTGCCGCCTTTTCTCCCTGAAGATCCGTATTTCAATTACCCTGGCCCTCTAACAAATCCTAATTTACCTGAAAATCCAGGTACTCCTGGTCAACCTCACCGTTAGATTCAAAGACATTAAAAATCAACTTTTGTCTGTACAATATTTGTGTAATACATTTATCAAAAGTGATAAAATAAAATAGTTTTTAATTACAGTTTATTTGTTGTATTTATTTCATGAGACATTACTTACTCATCATATCACCTATAATGATACTGTGAGAGTTTAGTTATTTGTTTGTAATATTGAAAACCTTAACTCCAAAATTAATACAAAACAATAACTTTTATTGTATTTTTTAAATTAAATTTGTTGTATTTATTAAACTTAATACGAGTCCTAGGCAAATGAATCAAATTAAAAAAACATATTTTAAACAGTAATTTGTTTGGAAATGTATATGTAAAGAACAAAATATGTTCCTTAATTTAGTGTATTGCTCAAACAAATCATTATTGTAAAAGCATAATTATCGACTAAACATGAATTAGACCTGGATTGTTCGTCAGCGATGGTTTACGGTATATATTAAATTATTTAAGAGAGTGGCTACACTATTCCCATCTATCCTAGGACGCTTTTTTTATTTTTTTATTGTAAATCGGTTCAAAATATCCATAGACTAGAATTTTTAACAGAAAACATACATTTGCCTTTTCTAGACTTGATAATACTTTTAAATTGATCGAACAATTGAGGTGTTTACAGACATTTTATTTGCATGTTTTGTACTTTATTTTATTCTGTACCTACATTAATTGGGTATATAATTGTAAGACTAAACAGATATGCTTATACATTCATCAAATTGTTTATTAGAAGACGTTCATGTTTTTCGAAAATATTTTGCATATTATACGTTTATATCATATATTTCCACCTTTATTTTCGGCATGAGAATTAACAAACAGACACTTGTTAAGAACAGCGATTTACCTTTTACCACCTTCTTGGAATCGTCCCTCTTATCTGTAAGATATTTCAGTCAATATTTTACTCCTAAACATAATAATAAATGATACCTATTATTTTAATTGTGTACAAGATTCTATAGTCTAATTAAAGTAAAGTATACAGAAATATGACAGGATAATTATTATTTTTTATAAGTGTGTAACCAGCTGCAAAAACAGATATTTATTATAAATCATAGAAATGTGTTTACAATATTTTTATATTAAATTACTTTGTCAATTTTTTGTTTGTTTTTTAATTGATAATAAAGTACTAAATTACACAATATGTCACAATATGACGAACGTGATATTTGCAAATGAAAAAAAAAAAAATTGCAATATTTATTTATTAAGTGCCTTTCTGAAGATAAATTATTGGATAAATATTTAATTTATCCAAATAGTAAATAAAAATAAAAATTAACCTTTTACATATAAATTTGTAGCCGGCACATAATATAAAATATTATAACATTAATTTAATTTGTGAATTCTGTATTAAATAATGGAACAGTTTTCTGTATTATCTAAACATTTTGTACATTTTGTATATTCTATACATTTTGTTGTTGATTTTGTTAGTGAAAAGTATAATTAAAGTGTAAAATAATTTTAATAGCATCCATGCATAATTATTGCAATAAAGTAAGTTGATATGTATGTCAGGATATTGTTAACATGCACATAGTGTTTATATTAGCCATGCTCTTTAGCTTATGTGTTATATTTCATATCAAAGCATGATATATCAACATTCCTGGGTAATAGTAACGCTTACTAGGAATGTTGGAAATTTTAAAAGTTATTTATTAAAAACAGTAGGAGTTTTTGTTAAAATTCTGTGTATTCTGGTATAGGTTGTAAATAGAGTGATTTTTGAAGACATTGGGTTTAGGTCTAAAGTTGACCGTAGCGATCATGAGTAAGAATTAATAAAATACATTATACAATTTTCTTGACATATTAGAATGATTTTTGCTGTAGAATTTATAATAACTTAGTGTCAGACCAAAATTTTTAATGACAAAAAAACGTTTAATGAAAATTTAACTATAATAAAATAAATATATTTTAATAAAATAATAATATAATATACTTGTAACCAATAGTAATAACAAGTTCTACCTCCTAATATTAATCATATCAAAATATCAAATTGTACAAGCAAAAGTTAATTATTGAAACATATTAGACACGTAGGTAACCATATTATATTATTCATGACTAATATCATAAGTAACTGCTTTATAATATTTTATTGTGCAATAATATATCTTTAAAAACTAAGCATAATTTATCTTTTACAGTTAACTCAAAAAAGCGAAATTTTCCATAATTTTAGTCATTTTTCAATTAAAATAAACACAAAAAAAAATGTATCGAGTAGCCGGTGAACCTAGTGGTAATTTTAAATGTAGTAATCTTTTCACTTAATTTATCTTAGACCGTCAATTGAAAAAGATTAGGCCATATTGTTCTACTTTGAAGGTAGTATTACAGTATTTTAATGACTTTTGATAATTTAATAATTACAATATTTTACAATAAACCATTTAATGAAATATAAATTTTATTTTATATTACTAATTTTGACTAATTTAAATCAACTATATATTTTGATATATTTAATAATTTGGGAGGGATTTGACTATAATAAAATTTATTTTAATAATATAATAATATTAAAACAAATGTAATTTGTTATTACTTATTACAAATAGTAATAACAATTACTACCTCCTAATTATAGTCATATCAAAACATCAAATTGTACAAGTAATAATTGGCACATAATAGGTATGTAGGCACCTATATTATATTATTCACGACTAATATCATACGTAAATATTTTATACAATTATGGTATGCAATTATATGTCTTTATCAATAAATCATAATTTATAATATTTAGTAAACAAAAAAAAGTGAAAATTTCCATAATTTTAGTAAGTTTCAAATTAAAATAAACACGAAGTAACTTTTTTTGATCCTGTATCACGTAGGCAGTGAACCTAGCGGTAATTTTAACTGCAGTATTGTTTTCACTTAATTTTCTTAGACCATCATGTAAAAGTGATTACGCCGTATTAATCTACCTTGAAGGTAGGATTACAGTATTTTAATGACTCTTGATGATTTTAAATGTACAAAATTTTATATTAAACCATTTAATAACATTTAATTTTATTATAAAATAACTGATTTTGTCTTATTAAAATCAACTTATGTTTAATAGGTAATTTACAAATTTGGCGATCTAAACCTCTAGCCAGAACATTTGGATAATCCGTCGACTACTACTATAACGTAACGGGTAGCAAAGGATACAATTATTTTGTCGACGTAGAATATCGTATAATTTGCGTATCTATTCGGATTAATTGCAAATATGCTGTTAAAATTTATCGTTTTGTATGTTATTTTTTATTCTCTTATGTCATTGTCGGTACACGGTGATGGTGACTTTGGTCCTGATTTTCCATTTCCTGACCCACCTGATAATCCACCTTTCACTTCTGACCCTGGCAATCCATCAATTCCTAATGTACCTGAAATTCCAGGTACTCCTGGTCACCGTCACCGTTATCCTGATAGTTCACCCCCAGACGATTGTGGTGGTTTCGGTTGTTGCCCCTCACCTTGTAGGAGAAATTTAACATGGGCCGAATATGATTGTAATAAAGGTTATCATATTTATGAACCCGAAATACCTAATTGTTATTGCTGTAACTGAAAATTTCATTTATTTGAGGCACAATTGCAAACTATTTCACAAATTCAATAAAAATGTGAAAAATCCAAAATGATCTTTCCATTATTTATTCGATTAATGAAGCACACTAACAAATTGAGGCACTGCTAACATTTAAATTAATTTACACCTTCTAACCACAAGAATATTGGGATGACATTATGTGCATATACCCTAATAATAATATATTATAATAAACTTGCTGTAATAATTATACATTAAATTTATTATTTTAGATTAAAAGACATTAAAAATCAATTTTTGTCAGTACAATATCTGTGTAATACATTTATCAAAAGTGATAAAATTAAATAGTTTTTAATTACAGTTTATTTGTTGTATTTATTTCATGAGACATAATCTACACATCTTATTACCTATGAAGTTCCTGCGGGACCGTAGTTATTGGTTTGTGATATTGAAAACCACACCTCCAATATTAAGACAAAACATTTACTTTCATTCCCTTTTTGTTAAATAAAATACGTTCTTTTTATTAAACGGTAATTCATTTAGAAATGTATATTTAAAGAACAAAATATGTTCCTTAACATAGTGTATTTCTTAAACAAATCTTTTTTATGAAAGCATAATTTTCGATTGAATACGACGTAGACTTGGATTGTTCGTCAGCGATGGTTTGTGAAATATATTTAATTATTTAAAAGAGTGGCTACACTTTTCCCTTCTATCCTAGGACGTCTTTTTTTTTTTTATTGTAAATCGGTTCAAAATATCCATAAACTAGAATTTTTAACAAAAAACATACGTTTGCCTTTTCTAGACCTGATAAAATTTTTAAATTGGTCGAACATTTGAGGTATTTCCAGACATTTTATTTTGTAAGTTTTATACCTTATCTTATTTGACAGCTACAATAATTGGGTATTCAATTGTAAGACTAAAAACATGCTTTAACATTCACAAAATGATTTATTAGAAGACGTTCATGTTTTTCGAAAATATTTTGCATATTATACGTACATATCATATATTTCCACTATTATTTTCGGCATGAGAATTAACATACAGACACTAAGTTAAGAACAGCGTTTATCTTTTACCACCTTCTTGAAATCGTCACTCTTATCCGTAAGATATGTCATTCAATATATTACTCCTAAACATAATAGTAAATGATACCTATTATTTTAATTGTGTACAAGGTTTTATAGTCTAATAAAATACAATTTAGGCATCTCTTCTGGTTTGTAAATGCATTATAAACAATAAATTATTCATAATTACACATACAATTGAGTCATTAACTATAATATTGATATTTGTTTTAATATCTAATTATTGTTAAATAATTTTGTCGTATCATCGAAAATACCTACATTTTATTATCAGTACATACATTTGTAATAAAATTAACAGTTGCTTACGGACGGACGGTCTAAGACTATTTTAAACATCTGCACATAAATCCCAAATCAGGAATTTTACGCTAGGTTAATATATTTATTAAAAATTTTTCAAATATGTCATTTTAAAATACATACTTACTTTTTAATTTAGTACATTTTAAAAACTAAATTTCTCTGATTCCTGATTACTTAATACTTTTCCTAATTTTTTTGTTCTATTTAAAATCAAGACCGTAATTATTTAACTTATTATAAAGTGACAGTTAATGGTAATGTTAAAGAACTTACTACGTTGTGTATCGTGTTTTCCATATTATTTTGAAAAAAGGCTTAGACAATGATTTTAAGGACCTTTATTTATGAACCAACAAGATTTAGATTTCATCCAAAATTATCAAAGAGATTTTTGAATTTAAATCATGTTATAAATTTCGGTGAAGTATACAGAAATATGACAGGATAATTATTATTTTTTATAAGTGTGTAACAAGCTGCACAAACAGATATTTATTATAAATCATAGAAATGTGTTTACAAAATTTTTATATTAAATTACTTTGCCAATTTTTTGTTTATTTTTTTTATTGATAATAAGGTACTAAATTACACAATATGACGTACGTGATATTTGAAATGAAAAAAAAAAATTGCAACATTTATATATTTTGTGCCTGTATGAACATAAATTAAAGTTTTATGGATGAGGGTAAATATTTATCCAAAGACTAAATAAAAATAAAAATTAACCTTTTACATATAAATTAGTACCCGGCATAAAATATAAAATATTAAAACATTAATTTCATTTGTGAATTTTGTATTAAATAATGGAACAGTTTTTTATCTTATCTAAACATTTTGTATTCTATACATTTTGTTGTTGATTTTGTTAGTGAAAAGTGTGAAAAAGTGTAAAATAATTTTAATAGCTTGCACGCAAAATTATTGCAATAAAGTAAGTTGATATGTATGTCAGGACATTGTTAACATGCACATAGTGTTTATATTAGCCATGCTCTTTAGCTAATGTGTTATATTTCATATTAAAACATGAAATATTAACATTCCTGGATAATAGTAACGGTAACTAAGAATGTTGAAAATATTAAAAGTTATTTATTAAATACAGTAGGAGTTTTTGTTAGCGTTCCGTATACCAAGGTAAGCGTTTAAATAATATAAATAGATATTCAATAATTTATCTGCAGTTCATATTTACCATTATGCAAACTTTAATGAAATAAAATACTGATTAACACTCATAATCCATGTCCATGTATGGCGTGTATCATGGTCTCACAACAGTAAATCACCAAACTGCCAGGTTATAATAACTAATCTTAACTTAGAATTCATCTATATTCATCAATATTAAACCTATAGCACCAGTCGAAAAAGTTTGGACAAATTTACTATAGGTTTTACGTACAAAATGATGAATTATATGACACACAAAATGAAGTATACGTTAGATTTGGTCGTGGTGGTAATCACTAAGTGAATACAGAAATTAAAACTAAATACAGACATTTGACTCAGTGATACATATTTTCTTAAAATTTTGCAGAGCTTGTCAAACAAAAATGTAATCTAAACGAAAAGACCTTGTAGTTAAACCGATTATTCATTCAGAAATTAAGTATCGTTATCAGGTATATCTCATCTGGGCCTTGTTTAAACAACAGAGGCATTGTGCACTACACATTTCTGGGCGTATATTATTTAAAAAAAAAAAATCGTTGAAAATTAAAAACAAATCACATTTTATTTATTTAACAGGTAGATCCTAAAAACAAATTTCTTGAATTATATAAAAATTATATCTACAAATCACCATTTTTTTTTCAATTTTATTTCTTTAAGCATTTTTATACTTCAAATTTTTTTTTTTGCAAATTCATGAAAAAAGTGTTGACAACGAATGGTAGAAGTAACGGTACAAAAATTAGTCATCATTCTTTTAGTTGAAAAAAAACTTTTCTACTTTTAGATTCCAAGCGTATCGAAGTAGCTAAAGGTATTACAATAGTGTTTATTTATTATTTTTTTCTTCTAGTCTGTGGACACTTTTCTTTGTATTAAACTCGTTCCGATTTGTTTGTGTGCCAATTTTTCTGTAAGCACAAAAGTACTTTTTAGATTATTAACGCCATATTTCATATAAAAGCACTTAAAAAAAAAAAATAAAAACTTACAATTTCTCTATTTTATTATTTTATAAAAACACGGACGACGTTCTCTACGAAAATATGTCGTCTATGTATTAATCGAAAAATCACAATATAACTTTTTTGAGGCCTTTTCTATTTAGTTTCAATTGGTATCAACACCAGATTTTTGAGTCACTTCTGAGCTTTTAAGGAAATTTACTTTAGGATAGAGTTTTTTAACGGAAAAAAAGCTTAAATCCGAAAAATAACAATATAGCCTTTTCGTGGCCTTTATGATTTACTTTCAAACGGTATCAACTTCACTCAGAAGAGTCATTCATCAAGCAAAGATATATCTGTTAGAAAAGATATACCATTTTATGACGAAATAAAATCACCCTGTGTATTATATGTACCTAACTTTTCACTTATAACGGAGGCCCCTCCTATATTTAGTACCACCTCTATTATTAAGATTAAGTACAAAATATAAGAGTTTCATTTAACTGTCTACAATTAAATTACTTTGCATTTGTTTGCAGCCACTGTTGTTGTAGGTGGAAAATTAGGAATGTAAAATTCAGACTGAAATATAATGTAAATCTGTAAGCATCGAAAACCATTGCTATCGAAAAAACGATTCTGAAAGAGGTTTACTGCAACTTCACTCAGAAGAGTCTTTCATCAAGCAATGATATATCTGTAAGAAAAGAAATACCATTTTTTGACGAAATGAAATCACCCTGTGTATTATATGTACCTAACTTTTCACTTATAACGGAGGCCCCTCCTATATTAAGTACCACCTCTATTATTAGGATTAAGTGCAAAATATAAGAATTTCATTTAACTGTCTTCAATTAAATTACTTTGTTTATGTGAAAATTTTCGTTTAAAAACATGAATTCTCAACATTTCTGGATAATAGTTACGCTAACCAGGAAAATTGGACAATGTTAATAGTTATTTTTTAAATAAAGTAGAAGTTTTTGTTAAAATTCTGTGTATTCCGGTATGCATTTAAATAATATTCTCCCTGTTTTTCCCATTCATTAGTGTGCATGCGTTAATCAAGGCCTGGTGACAACAAAATGTTTGTAGCTGACTTTTGATCTATTGAATTTATTAGTAGGGATTTGACTATAATAAAATATAATTTAATTATATAATAATATTATTAACAAAAGTATTTGTGTTACTTATTACCATTTGTAATAACAAGTACTAGCTCCTAATAATAGGACGGTATTACGGTTTTTGAATTTTTTAGCAGGGATTATGGGATTAGTCATACGAACAACTAATGACAAAGTAGAGATTATCTCATCGACATGCAATCGCAAGCTAATGGCAAATTTTGCTCTCTTATGTTTTATTCAGTCAATTTAACAAAATGTATTCAGTCGCGGGCATAAAAGTCAAAAAACGGCCAAAGAAGTGGTGACTAATATTTTGGATATATTTTGTATTTTTGGAGCACCGGTTATTTTACCAACCCACATTGGGTGTCAATACTACAGTACAAGTATTAACGATTTGAAAATTATGGAAAAGATGATGTTTGAAACCGTGAATATAAAAAAATAATAGAGATAACAATACTCAAGAGGTAAATGAATAATGTTGTTCGAAAGCAACACATTAAGCATCTGCAACTACTGTTTAGGTTTTGAAAAAAAGGTATTGTTGGAGCGAGTGAGCAAACTGTGTATGCTTTTACTGGGCGAATTCAGAGAATTGATTTAATTTCGATGCGAATGGTGTACTTAAGCGTTCCGTGGTCTCTCACACCGACGACTCCCACTTCTCCATGGTAGCTACGTGGGCGTGTCTATGTGAGCGACACCCGTAAAATATATTTTAAATTGATATGTGTGCTAGTAGGATGGTAACACTGTTTAAGAGATACTTGTGATAAACTCGTTTATTATACAAGCATTAAATATTCAATATATTACTTGGTAGTACATGTCAAAATAACATTTATAGAAACTGCAAATCTAATATCTGCCAATGTCGGTGAAGGATACAAAAAGTGTTCATGTAAAGAAAAATGTAATACCAATCGGTGTAAGTGTAAATCATCTAGCAATTTTTACAATTCGAAATGTCATGGAAGCATAACATATAATAATAAAGGATAGTAGTAAGGAAAGTAGTAGATAACTCGTTAAAAATATATTCATATTGTTTAATAATAATAATAATTATAATAATTTTTAATTTAATATAAATGTTGTATTATCCAATAATAAAATCCGCGTCGTTATTTTCTATAATATTGAGACGCGTCGCAGTCACAATCATCACAGCTTATATTTTATTTAAATCTTATAAACTAGAATGTTGTACAGTCATAATTTTTAAAATATCAACATTATTAATGATTATTAACACTTTTGTTTATTACTATGTTTGGAAGGAAAGTGTTATTTTCATAGGAACGTAATTTGGAATGCGTTATTTTTCAAATGTAAAAACGTGGAACGGGAAAGGATTTCTATTTATGAAAAACGTGAAAAAAAAAATTTCCGTTCTCAATAAGACGAAAAAAAACACGTTATTTTGGTGATAGTAACATCTAAAAATCATTTAGTGTTGATATCATTTCGTCAGTTACTAATGAATTACCACGATAGCACAACGGTTATTAATTTTTTTTTTTGTTTTCGAGCACTGGATATAACCATGAAATAAATTGATTTTAAATAAATTGTCGAATTTTTTTTCGAATAATTTGTTTTTATTTTCAATTTTTAGGATAGGAAATAATTTTATAATTGAATTTATTAGAATTTTAAATATTTATTTATTTAATTTTAATACCAAGCGGTTACTTATAACATAAATATTAATATAGATTAAAGTAGTATTTATAATATTTAACTACATAGTAATGATATCTAGTATTACAGTAGTTAAAATTGCCACTAGGTTCGCTGCCTACTCAATATAGGATCAGAAATTGTACTAATTGTACGGATATTAATAGAAAAATCACTAAAATTATGTAAATTTCTCTGTCTTCTTTTTTTACTGTTAAAATGCATAGTGGTAGTATTTATAATTACTTTAAGTAATAAGTGACAATTATACTATTTTAAAAAAAATTTAAAACGTTTTTCATTTTTTTTTTTTTTTGTTGTCTGACAATTGATTACTATAATTTCTACAGAAAAAACCATATTAGTATTTAAATAAAATTGTATAATATATTTCATGAGTCCATGTTCATGATCCTCACAGTCAACATTATACCTAATTTGTTAACCCTAGAAGTGGAGGATATCTATTCACACCGACAAAATACACTAATGAAACTTGTTTATAGCTTACAAACAGATAAATACAAATATTTTAAAAGATTATTAATGCTTAATATTTCTCAATAATGAATTATTTCCTAAATATAACTATCATAAATATCATTTGTGTAGGTTGTAATAAATAGAGTAATTTTTGAAGGTATTGGGTTTAAGTCTAATGTTGACCGTAGCGATCATGATAAAGAACTAATGAAATACATTATACAATTTTCTGAAAATACTAGAATGATTTTTAGTGTAAAAAATATAATAACCAAGTATCAGACCAAAAATCTTTAGTAAAAATGAAACCGTTTATAATAAAATAAATATGTTTTAATAATATAACAATATAATAAACTAATTAGCAATAGTAATTACGAGTACTACCTCCTAATATTAATCTTATCAAAATATAAAATTGTAAAAGTAATAGTTAAGTACTGGAACATACTAATTAGGTAGGCAGGCATATTATAATAATCATGACTATTATAATAAGTAACTACTTTATACTATTATATTATGTAATTATATTTCTTTATGAAAAGCATAATTTATCTTTTATAGTAAAAAAAACGGGAAAATTTCCATAATTTTAGTAATTTTCGAATTAAAATACACACGAAAAAAATAATTTCTGGCCCTGTATCGAGTAAGCGGTGAACCTAGCAGTAATTTTAACTGCAGTATTGTTTTCACTTAATTTATTTTAGACCGTCACGAAAAATAATTACGCCCTATTAATCTACCTGAAAGGTAGGATTACAGTATTTTAATGACTCTTGATGATTTCATAAGTACAAAATTTTATATTTAACCATTAAATGACATTAAATTTTATTATAAAATAACTGATTTTGTCTAATTAAAATCAACTTCAGTTGAATAGGTAATTTACAAATTTGGCGATTTAAACCTCTAGCAAGAACATTTGGATGATCAGTCGACTACTACTATAACGTAACGGGTAGCAATTATTACTGTCAACTGGAATCATACCTATATACTAAATATAAATTGTTAAGACCGTAACGTTTAACCGAATTATATTAAAATCAAAAATTTTGTGTCTCCTAAGAATATCCTATTATCCGCGAATCTATTTCGGATTTATTGCAAATATGCTGTTAAAATTTATCGTATCGTATGTTATTATTTATTCTTTTATGCCAGTGTCAGTACACGGTATAGGTGAGTATGCTCCTGATCTGCCGCCTTTTCTCCCTGAAGATCCGTATTTCGAGGACC